AAAGCTTGTTTATTCAGCTTTCGGATGATCTATAAATCTTAAATCTAAAAAAAAAAAAATGTACCCTTATGACTGGTTTTGTGGCCCAGGGTCACATATTTTCATAATAATATTGTAACTTTTCCAGTAACAAGTAGGACACTTCTACCAATAAGTAGAAGTGTAGCACAACCAAATGTTATATTGATATTTTTAATGGAGGTAATAACCTATGGTAGCCTGTTTCTGCCACAGAATAAAAAAAATAAATAAAAAAAATAAAAAAGACAAGTTTATATCTCACAATTCAGACTTTTTTCTCAGAAATGAGATAAAATAAGATTAAAATCAGAATTGCAAGATATAAAATCAGAACTGTGAGATAATAACTTGCAATTGCAAATTTATAACTCACAATTGCGAAATATAAACTCTGAAAAGAAAAGTCAGAAATGTGAGAAAAAATATGAATTTTGAGTCATAATTACTAGTTTTGAATTCTGTGGCAGGGCAAAAAATAACAGAATTGCTAGATAGAATGCTCAGAATTCTGACTTTCTTTCTCACAATTCCATGTTTAAAAAGTCACAGTTACTTTTTATTTTTTATTTCGTGGCATAAACAGCTTCCATAATATTTTCCATAATACACTTTCCATTTTTGTTTTTCATATGCAGCATTGGAAACTGCTAGAATCGGTTTAAAAAATATATTGAATCCTTAAATCTTCTTGATAAAAGAATAAAAGTATTTGCGGTCAAAATTTGTGATCAAATGTAGTTTCATCACTAAAGTATGTTTACATATAAATATATGACCCTGGACCACAAAACCAGTCATAAGGGTCAATTTTTCGAAATTAATATTTATACATTATCTGAATAAATAAGCTTTCCATTGATGTACGGTTTGTTAGGATAGGACAATATTTGGCCGAGATACAACTATTTGAATATCTGTAATCTGAGGGTGCAAAAGAGAGAAACGCCTTTAAAGTTGTCCAAATGAAGTCCTTAGCAATGCATATTACTAATCAAAAATTAAGTTTTAATATATTTACAGTAGGAAATGTACTAAATATCTTCATGGAACATGATCTTTACTTAATATCCTAATGATTTTTGGCATAAAAGAAAAATCAATAATTTTGACCCATACAATGTATTTTTGGCTGTTGCTACAAATATACCTGTGCGACTTATGACTGGTTTTGTGCTCCAGGGTCACATATATATGTGAGTTTTTTCAACATGCTTGAGAAAAATAGAAATAAAAATAAAAATGATATCGCTGGACAGTACATTTTAAAAGGCATTATCCCCTTATGGCTTAATGGCTTTAAGCTATTTTCTTAAAGGAGCTGCTTGACTTAGTCATTTTAACTACTTTAAATTGCGAGTAGCTTTTGCCTTGACTTACATGAGAAACAGATAAGACACAGGAATGCTCTTAGTATTAATTTTGAGGTAACACTTTAAAGGGGTCATATGATGCTGCTAAAAAGAACATTATTTTGTGTATTTGGTGTAATGAAATGTGTTTATGCGACATTTGGGCGCCGTTATGCAAATCTTCCCACATAGTGATGTAGGTATGTGGGGGCATGTTCGAACGAGCCGTTTTAGGTAGGTGTGGCTGACTCTTAACTTTTATAAAGAATATCTCTTTGGATTTGAGACTTTAGTCTTTGCAAATTTACAGATCTTCTTTATGCACCAAGAGCTTGTAACACTCCAAAGAGAAAGGAAAAAATGAAATTGCATCATATGACCCCTTTAATTCAGGGACCAATTCTCACTATTAACTAGTTGCTTATTAGCATGCATATTACTTGCATATTGGCTGTTTATTAGTACTTCTAAAGCACATATTAATGCCTTATTAAAAGTTTATTGAGGCAAAAGTTGTAGTTAGAATATAGTGAGAATTGGTCCCCAGAATGAAGTGTGATCAGTTTTGGTATATTGAGAGAAGACAGACTATATACCATGATCTCCATGGCACTCCAGCGTGACGTGCCCCAGTACATGGCCATACCCTGGTTTATAACAAATGTCATCGCACGTACTACCTCTGTAAAGACAAACACACAACAGCACTTGTGATAAGCGATATGCCATGAATTATGCATCCGCAACACATGCCATGAAAGATGTAAAAGAAATTACAGACCTTCCATAGGGCTGTTCACATCGTTTCGGTTGGCAAAGACAATATCCACGTAATCCAGCTGTAGTCTAGACAGGGAACCTCTGAGACCTGTAGACACATCACCATCACTGTCTGTCCACTTTATTGTGATCGTCTTATTAGTCATAAACAGCACTTTACCTTCTATGATGTGTTTTCTGGACAGGCCTCTCTCTGTCTCTGCCCTGAGGATTATGAATGCAAATGTCAGAGAGGATAGTTATGGAGTCAAGATGAATATACTCAAAGTGCAATCAATTTAACTTGAGTGTCAGCATGCTGCAACATGGCGAACAAGCAGCTGGTATTGAATAAGCTATATTTTAAACACACCATTTTCATTTAATTTGTATATTATGGAAGCCTGTTTCCACCACTGAACAAAAAAAAAAAAAACTGCAATGTTGTATCTCACAATTCTGACTTTTTTCTCGCCTTTGCAAGTTTATTTCCCACAATTCTGACTTTTCTTCTCACAAATGCGAGTTTTTTTTTACAATTCTGTCTTGTCTTCTCAGAATTGTGAGTTGATATTTTGCAATTCTGACTTTACTCGCAATAGAAAAAAGTCAGAATTACGAAATGTAAACTCGCAATTTTGAGAAAAAAAAGTCAGAATTGCGAAATGTAAACTCGCGATTTTGAGAAAAATAAAGTCAGAATTGCGAAATGTAAACTAGCGATTTTGAGAAAAATAAAGTCAGAATTGCGAAATGTAAACTCGCAATTTTGAGAAAAAAAAAGTCAGAATTGTGAAATGTAAACTCGCAATTTTGAGAAAAAAAAAGTCAGAATTGTGAAATGTAAACTCGCAATTTTGAGAGAAAAAAAGTCAGAATTGCGAGATAAGTCACAATTACCTTTATTTTTTTAATTTAGTGGCGGAAACGGATCGCAACTAACTTTTGGATAAAAGTCTGTAAAATTGTTTACCTTCACAAAATCAAGTGTGTTCACATTTTTTTCTTTTGCATTTATTGATTGTTGATTCTGCAGATTTACAAATTGTCACATACTACATTTGCTGATCACCTAAGATTGATAGTTAAAGACTTATAGTTAAAGAACAAAGAGACAAATAGTTAAAGAACCTTTTTTTAAGAACTTGTGCGGTTACAAATATTCATTTTGATACTATTCTGAATCTTTTGTGTCGGTCTGAATATACTACAAGATAGAACTGAACAGATACTCACTGTCCTCCCCAGTAGATCTTAGTCGTTACTACATAACTGGACCGTCTGAAACAGATTTTGGGGTGTTTATTATAGTGAGGAAGTCAGAATTGCGAGATAAGTCACAATTACCTTTATTTTTTTAATTTAGAGGCGGAAACGGATCGCAACTAACTTTTGGATAAAAGTCTGTAAAATTGTTTACCTTCACAAAATCAAGTGTGTTCACATTTTTTTCTTTTGCATTTATTGATTGTTGATTCTGCAGATTTACAAATTGTCACATACTACATTTGCTGATCACCTAAGATTGATAGTTAAAGACTTATAGTTAAAGAACAAAGAGACAAATAGTTAAAGAACCTTTTTTTAAGAACTTGTGCGGTTACAAATATTCATTTTGATACTATTCTGAATCTTTTGTGTCGGTCTGAATATACTACAAGATAGAACTGAACAGATACTCACTGTCCTCCCCAGTAGATCTTAGTCGTTACTACATAACTGGACCGTCTGAAACAGATTTTGGGGTGTTTATTATAGTGAGGACAAACCTAATACTGTCTTACAGGAATACAGTAATTCAAGTTAAAACATAAAAACATTTTCCATAAATTGAGACTGAGAGGAATATGTATAGTAGGCTGTGTTATTCATATACTCAAATTGTTCTGCCACAAAATTAATAAAAAATGACAGACATAAGAACAAAAGCAGGTCACCTCCAGCCTTTCTTTTTGATGATATTCCCTAGAGTGATTTCAGCCCTGCGGAAAAACAAAGACACAAAATCTGAAAATATATTTTATTATTATTACTATTACACTACAAAAAAAAAAAAAAAAAAGTTGTCT